CCTTTGCAGTGCTGGAATTTCCTTCACACCATGTCTAGCAAATGTACCTATTAGGTTCTCTTTCAACATGTTAAATTACTGGGAACTCCATGCTTCACAAAGTATATCATTTGATTGTTATAACAGTTGTTATCAGAAAAATTTTTTTAATAAGATAAAATCTGCCTTTTTCCAACTTCCGTTCAGTATTTCTTGTTTCAGCAGTAAGAACTACCTAATAAAAGTGCTCTTTTTCCCAGAAGAGTGCTAATTATTTCTGGTTTTGATTTGACATTTTTCATTGCTATTTTCAAGAAATGTGACTTTGCTTTTCATTTGGAAATGATGTGCTGATTTTATTTTTTAAGAGAAAAGAAGAATGTTTTCATAAAATGTGTGGCAGTTGTGTTTCTGCTACCTCCTTTTCTCTCTCACTGCTGCCAAAGTGTTTTCTTTGCAGGGATCCTTGCCAGGGTGCTTTAATTTTTTATTTTAATAAATAAAATAAAGGTATTGTGTCCATTTATAACTAAAAATATTTAAAGAAGAGCCGGAGGAGGAGGAGGAGGGGGAGGGGGAGGGGGGGAGGAGGAGGAGGGGGGGAGGAGGAGGAGGAGGAGTGGGGGGGAGGAGGAGGAGGAGGAGCTCTTCAGAGGCTCAGTTTTTGGTCTAATCAAGCACACTCAACTTTTTCTTAGATTCAGTTGACCTTTTTTTTCCCCCCTCCTGAAACTTGAGACTTTGAATTTATTTTTAATTTTTAAAAAACCCAAATGTTTAAATAATGTGTTAGGGAATTTCTCTCACACAACAAATAGCAACTAACTTATTGAATTACTTTGCATCATTTATTGTTTAGTTTGCCAATATTCTGTGTTAAGATGCATTAAGGTCTCTGGTTAGTAGAGATGGGAGGCAGTAGACCAAGCATTGATATTTGATCACTGATCTTCTTAGGTCTTTTTATTCTGCTCATTATTTTTAGAACAGAGAGAAAATACTTTGTAGAGTTTGGCTTTTTATTTCTAGGCACAGTAATAGCCTTTAAATAACTTAGACAAGAAAAAGGGAAGTGAGGGAAAGTCTGAGAGGGTAGGTCTGAGGAAGGCAGATTCATGGGAGCCCACATAATCTCAACCTCAGGAGAGTTCCAACAGAAAGAATTGCCGGTTTTGGTTCCACACTCTACACTGGTTATCTTTTGGCAGTTTGGAGCTATAGGAGTATTGGAAGCCCCAGTGGGACTGTTGTTTCCTCAGTGAAGCTATTGATTTCATTCAGGGCTTTCCTTCCTTCCTTCCTTCCTTCCTTCCTTCCCTCCTTCCTTCCTTCCTTCCTTCCTTCCTCCCTCCCTCCCTCCCTCCCTCCTCCCTCCCTTCCTTCTCCCACTCATATTTTGGGTTTGTTGTAGATATTTTCCAGGGTGGACTGGTGGTTGAGTTTTGCTCTCTTTGCTTTCTTCCTTCCTCCCTCCCTCCCTCCCTTCCTTCCTTCCTTTCTTTTTCTCCTCCTCCTCCTCCTCCTCCGGCTCTTCTTTAAATATTTTTAGTTATAAATGGACACAATACCTTTATTTTATTTATTAAATTTGGTGCTGAGGTTTGAACCCAGTGCCTCACACATGCTAGGCAAGCTCTCTACCATTTAACTAGAAGTCCAGCCTGAATTTTCTGTTTTTGTTGTTATTACTTTGTTTTGTTATTTGGGGAAAGTCAGGCAGATTAAAAATTGTGCCACAGTTGTCATTTTCCTGGAATTATTTCTTGTGGGTTTTAAAATCTCTCCTATCTCTCTTTTTATGGAGTCAGGGTCTCACTAAGTTGCATAGGGCCATGCTAAGTTGCTGAGGCTGGCTTTGAACTTGCCTCCTGAGCTGCAAGGATCACAAAGTCACCATACCTGGTTTTCTACTGACTCTTACATTCCCTTTTATTTTTAATATGTATTTGTGAATTTTCTTTTTCTTATATAATCTTACAGGAATTATTGGTGGTATTTGCCTTTCTGGTTTTGTTAATCCACTCAGTTGTATCTTTTTTTTCTTTTTTTGAGAGAGAGAGAGAGAGAGAAGGAGAGAGGGAGAGAGAGAGAGAGAGTTTTTTAATATTTATTTTTTAGTTTTCGGTGGACACAACATCTTTATTTTATTTTATGTGGTGCTGAGGATCAAACCCAGCGCCCCGCGAATGCCAGGTGAGCACGTTACCGCTTGAGCCACATCCCCAGCCCAAGTTGTATCTTTTTTAAAAAAATATATTAACCAATTTTTTTATAACTATTTATTTACTTTTATGTGTTGCTGAGGATTGAACCCAGTGCCTCATACATTCTAGGCAAGTGCTGCACTACTGAGCCACAACTCCAATACCTCAGTTGTATCTTTTTAAAAATATTGCCTTATGGTTATAATTTCTTACCTTATGCTTTCCTTGATTTTATCTTATTTTTAAATTTAAGTTATTGATGTGCATGTGCAGCATTAATTATCACTTTTCTTCTTTTTAAACATATAAAGCTATAAATGCTCCAGTAAGCATTACTTTAAGTTTACCTATCAAATTTGAATATTTTTCTGTTATTTAGTCCTAGTATATTTTCTAATCTCTTTTATAATTCTTCGTTGATCCTTGAGGTATATGTACGTATGCTTTTAAATTCCTATGCATATGAGATTTTACTGGGTTTATTTTTGTTACAGATTTCTAATTTAATTCCTTATGGCTGGAGAAAATGATCTATATTATTGATTCTCTGGGATTTTTGAGATTTGCTTTGTGTCTTAGTATGCATGAGTACTTTTAATAAATGACCAATGGGTGTCATTTATGGTATGGGTGCTTTTTATAGTAATAGCTAACTCCTTCCTACACATGACTTAATGTATTCCAGGTCATTTTAAGGTCATTACATAAAAATTAAATATTGTGTATTAATATATATATATATGTGCATGTGTGTATATATATGTATGTATGTATGTGTGTATATATATATATATATATATATATATTTATTTAGATCTGTTACTTGTACTGTATGTATTTTGAAACTGCTACATTTGTTACTAGGTACATTAATACCTTGTGACTAGAGTCTTCTATCATTGCATTTTGTCTTTATCTCTAATAATGGGTTTGAGCTTAATGTCTCCTTTTTCTGATATTGATATAGTGACAGCTTTTTTTCTAGTTAAATTTTGCCTGGCATATCCTTCTCATCCTGTATTATATGTCCTTTTGCTTGAAGTGTATCTGTTAAAGAACTTGTGGGTAAACTGAATTTATTTCAAGTTTTATCTAGGAGTAACTATATAACATGGTGATTAAAAGCAAAATTTTAGGGCCAGATAGGTTGGATTTGATTTGTTATCTGGGGTGTTGATATCTGGTAGCTAGAGTTTGATAATTGCAGAATGGGAGGCATTTTTTACTTTATTTAGACTTTCACTCTCCCATGTTTTATACTGTAGTCCTCACTTCTCTTCTGGTGTATTCAGGTTCTGATTTTCTATCCTGTTCCTTTGGAACCACCTGCTACATTCACTCTATGGCATTTTCCATAGTCAATTTGAACCATAATGTCTATTTTTTATCTTTGAAAGTATTGAAGTGGGCATAATAATGCCTACCTTATATTACTATTTCAGTTGTAGCATGGGTTACCAGATCTGAAGAACATTAACTTAGTGTGTAACACGTTCTAACCTAATGCTTAGAACAAGGCATTCTGCTTTGTTATTGATATATTACACTTTGGTTTCTAGTATTCTTGGCCACCATGAAACTATTCACTGTCTTGTCAGTATTTGTCACTATTAATGTTATCATCAGATTTATTATTTTTATTGTATAATTCAAGCTTTAACTTTTTCTGTTTTTTTTTTTTTTTTTGTTGTTGTTGTTGTTGTTATTTGGGTGATTTGGGGAGATAATTTTGGAGCATCTCAAATCAGCATTTCTAAAGTAGTAATAAAATTTAATGGAATTTAAAAATAATTTCCCAGAAGGAGCATATTCATAAATAAATTATATTAAAAATGAAGACATAAAAATCTTGCATTTTATGGGTATAGAGTACATACAGGTTGAGCTTCTCTGATCTGAAATCTAAAATCCAAAATGCTAAAATCTGAAACTTCTCATGTTGACGTGACAGCACACATGGAAAATTTCAAACCTGACTTTGTGTGACAGGTAAATTATAAGTACACTAAAAATATGGTATAAAATTACCTCAGGATTTAGACTTGGGTCTCATTCCCCAGGATATCTCATTATGTATACACAAATATAATAACAAAAAACAAAACAAACAAACAAACAAAAAAACCCAAATTCAAAACAGTCCTGGTCCCAAGCATTTCAGATAAGGGATAATCAACCTGTATTTCCAAGTAATACGCGTTCTGGATTTTGAATTTAATAAAGAGAGATTAATGTCTGTATGAAGCATTTTTTTTTGTCTAAATAGAAATTTGTACTTTAATTAAACAGTTTTAAAAAAACAGTGGTAGTGGTTATATGTTGTATAATACTGTGAATGTACTTAATGCCACTGTATGCTAAAAATGGTTGAAGTAAAAATTTTATGTTATGTATATTATACCACAATTTTTTGTTTTTGTTTTTTGGCTACTTGGGATTGAACCCAGGGGCACCCAACCTCTGAGCCACATTCCCAGTCCTTTTTGTATTTTATTTAAAGATAAAGTCTCACTGAGTTTCTTAGGGACTTGCTAAGTTGCTGAGGCTGGCATTGAACTCATAATCAACCTGCCTTAGCTTCTGAAGCTTCTGGGATTACAGGCATGGACCACCCTGCCTGGCTTATTATACCACAATTTAAACAAGAGTATTAGTCATTATTTAAATGTCTCACATTGCAGTTCACTTTCAGCTGGTGTGAAAATTTAAAGGACCATACATATGGAGTAAACAGAACATGCTGATTTATATACTTTTCCTTCAACCATATATTTCTCACTCATTTCCTAATATGGATTTTTTTTTTTTTTAATTCAGGAAGGAAAAGTTGATGCGATGCTCTCAATGCCGAGTTGCCAAATACTGTAGTGCTAAGTGTCAGGTAAGACTTCTCAGCTATATCATGAAACCTTCAAATTCTCTATTTGAAAATTTGTCTCCTATTACCTGTTGGTCTATTTGTGTTTTTAAACAATCTTTGACTCATTTTTACTTGTTATTTTTCCTTCAGTTTTAAAATTAATATATATACAGGTTGAAATACTTGGGACCAGAAATGTTTCAGATTTAAAATTTTTTCAGTTTGGAATATTTGCATAGATTTTACCAGTTGAGCATCACTAACCCCCAAATTTCAAAATTTTCAGCTTGGGGGCATTTCAGATTTTGAATTTTTGAATTAGGGTTGCTGAACCTACATATGGTTAAAATATAAGCATTGTTTGTATATATTTCTGCTATGTGAAAATAACTGTTTGTTTTCCATCTTTATGCCCCCTGCCTCAATCTTATTTTCCAGAAATAACCACTTTTAATTTTCTTGGATGTCTTTGAAATATTTTCTTATGAGAATTACTAACACATTTGAATATATTTTTTCTATGTTTTAAAAAAACAAATATTACTCTGGGACAATTTTTTTTTTAATATTTTTTAGTTGTAGATAGAAATAATCCCTTTATTTTATTTATTTATTTTTATGTGGTGCTGAGGATTGAACCCAGGGCCTCACACATGCTAGATGAGCGAGTGCTCTACCACTTTGCCACAACCCTAGCCCTGGGACAAATTCTTATATACCTTGATATTCTTTTAATTTAATAATCTATTTAGAAGAAAATTTATACTATCCCATAGCTCCATTACATAGATACATGATAATCATAATTTCCCTGTTAATGAAGTCTTCAATTTTTTCCAGTATTTGGTTTGCTGATAATGCATCCAGCATCCTTTTATTTTATTTTTGCACACTTATTTAAATTAATTGTAGGATAAATTCTTCCTAGTTATATCAGTTAGTGAAAGGATGTATGCATTTTGAATTTTTAAATATAATGCCAAATTGCCTTCCAAGAGTTTAAATTAATTTATAATGAATACCATTGTTAATATCTTTGAAATTCCTTCAAGGATGTATAATTAACATTCAACATGACCTTTTCTTCAAACCTTATAATTAATCATTTAATAAGAAATGTAATTATGCTCTAATGAATTATATCATATTAAAAAGTCTAAGTGGAACTTTTGTGGCTGTGTCACAGAACTTGCCCCCACTTTTCACCCATCCTTCTTATTTCTTATTTTGTTGTGTGTATTTGCCTGCATTTGTACATAGGCACCCACATTGAGTTCCTTCCTTCTTTTAAATCTAGGCCATGCTTATCTGAGGGATTTTTGCTATCTTATCTTCTCCTTTGAAAGTAATTTCTTCCGACTACAAAGTGAGCCCCCCTTCGCCAGCTTGTGCATGCTAGGCAAGTTCTCTACCACTGAGTTATGTTCCCTGATCCCAAAGTGATCTTACTAGAAAAGAAAAAAAAAAAAAAGGTACAAAAATATCATGGGTTTGAAGTTCTATTGCTAATTCTGCCATTTTCTAGTTAAATTATCTCAGGGAAAACACAAACTCTGTAGGCCTCAGTTTTAAATCTGTGACTGATAAGCAGAGCTAGTATTCATTAGATATCTCCTATGCACCATTTAATTCCATTTAATTTTCTAAGAATCTTATGAGAATTAAGTACTATTATATGCTCATTTTACCAATAAGAAAACTAAGGATAGAGAGGCAAGCAACTTGCCAAATATGCTATAATTTAAAGGCTCTAGAGTTTGGGAAATGATTCTCAGTAGCCCAATTCCAGATTTTTAACTCTTCTTTTAAATATAAATGTTACTCTCCTTTTACTTTTCTGATTAAGTCTAGATTTCCATTATCTGTTGTATTCTTTATTTTTTCTTGGCTTTTCATTTTATTTTGATAAGGATGTACTCTATCCCCAAAGAACATAAAACAAAAATGTTAAAAATAGACATTGAAGATTTTAACACTTCTTAATAAAAATAAGGTAGGAAATGTTAAAAGTACTGAATTATTTTCACCTCAATTTGTAAACCAAATATTCTGTCAAAGGAAGATCCTAGATTTATGGAAGATCACTAGCGACAACAGTAACAAAAAAGCAAAAAAAAGAAATAAACTCATGTTTTTCTACAGAGTAAATTCCAGAAAGACTGTTTTATGGTGGTGTTTTAGCTCTTTTATTCATGTGAAACTCAGCTACTTGTTTCTCAGAACTTCAGATTAAGCAGAATACACACAGAATTGACAAATTATCATTTTATTTGACACAAATATTTTAGGTATACTTCCTTTCTAGTCTCAATGACCTAAAAATTTATTTTTATTTTTTCCCTGTTTTTATGAATATTTTTCCTGCTGCTTTCTCCATTTGTAGTAAAACACTAGGGGTGGGAAAAGGTCATTATCTGATTAGAATGAGTGGAGGGGTTTTGGTAGGTGGCATGTCATTTTGATTCATTATAGTATATATATTTTTACTACATTTATCAGCTGTTTACTATAGTGTCAATAAAAATGTTATCATCAGATATACTGTGGAAAGTAATGGAGAAGTAGTAAGGTGAAATATATGGTATTAGCTAGAGTCTGCTCATGTGTGAGTGTATGTGGGGTGAGTGGTTTTGATGTGTGTAGAGGTCTGGTCAAAAGATTGGCCAAACCATATGCATTTAAACTGCTATATTTATCTCAACCTTAAGATACAGCATTAAACACTGTAATTATTGTGGATAGCTACAAAGTAGTATAGAATTAAACTGACACACTGAACTATGAACAGTAATGAAAAGGAGGCAATAGCAAGTGGAATGGAAATTGATATTGAGCATGTGAATTTGTAGCATAAAATCTATAATATGTCCACCCCAGGGGAACATAACTTTGGTTCGCTAACTTAGCCTTTGATGTGTGGGGTTTGGCTTCAATGAGTTGTCTGAGAGAGGTTTTGTGGGTATTTCAGTCTGTAATGTGTCTTTTGTGCTTATTGTATGGCACCATTGCTGTCAGCATTCACATTTCATTTTTAACATAAGTAACATAAAGATGTATTTTCATTATAAAAATTAACACCATATATAGTCATACAGAATAAAAAGCAAATCCTTTAGTTTCTTTTCCCACTCCTGTTTTCTGGTGGTAATCTCTTTGTGTCTATTTTGTGAGTTTAGGATACATACCCAACTGTTATTCCATGCTTCATCTGTAGTCTCTTTATGTATGTGTCTGTGTATTAATCTGTCTATCTACAGCTGTGTAGGTACTGCTTCTGATACTGACAAAATATTTTGTTATTAGTGGCTTCATATTTTTTTCCATACCTTATTGTGAGATGTCTGATTTTTACAAGAAAAATCAGTATTATTTGGTATATTCAGATCATCCAGATGATTATGAAATTATAGGGGAGTAGCAGGTTAAGCTTTTTTCTAAAAAAAGTATACTCAAAGTAGAAAATGGCAGCAATATTGATAGCAAGTAAACTAATTTTAGGCAAATCCATCAAGTATTATTTTACCTGTTCTGGATTTGATTCTTAATATATACGTTTATTTTTTTCTTTTGCTTTTTTGTGGTACTGGGAATTGAACCCAGGGGCACTTTACCACTGAGCCTCATCCCCAGCCTTTTTTATTTTTTATTTTATTTAGAGACAAGGGTTGCTGAGGCTGGCCTAAAACTTGTGATCCTCCTACCTCAGTCTACTGAGTTGCTAGGATTACTGGCATGCGCCACTGTGCCCAACTCATATGTACACTTCTAGTTGAATTAATTACTGAACCAAATATACAGTTTATATTCTTTTAAAAAGCACTATATTAGCAGAGAGAGGCTCTTTTTTATGTTGATAATTATGGATCTCTTTAAACATGTGAATCATATTTTTGGTTTACATTTTATGCTTAGTTATAGAATGATTTGATTCATTTTTGATGAGTAGAAAATTAATCCCACATTAGTAAGCATTTAACAGGGTAATGTAATAAGTTGTTCTCTGGAATAATGTACTCAAAGTGGTGATAATGAGAAAAGCCAAGCCTTTTATTTATTTCATAAATAGCTCTCTGCCAGACTTCAGACTGATAGTATATACACTGATTTGTATTTCTTGATCCATTTTGACAGTGTCTGTTTTAAAAAAAAATTTTGTAGTTGGACAGCATGTTTTATTTGTTTTTTTTTACATGGTGCTGAGGATCAACCCAGTTCCTCACATGTGGAAGGCAAGCGCTCTGCCACTGAACTCAGCCCCAGCACGTCTTTTAACTGGTTCATTTACATCATTGACATTCAAAGTGATTATTGATATAGTTGCATTAATGCCTACCATGTTTTCTATTTGTTGGCTTTACTCTTTCTTTCTGTTTTTTATTTGTTTATTTATTTTTGTTGTTTGTTTGTTTTTCTTTTGCAGTGCTGGGAATTGAACCCAGGGCCTTGTGCATGCAAGGCAAGCACTCTACCAACTGAGCTATATCCCCAACCCCTTTGTTTCTGTTTTTGTCTTTCACTGTTTTTCTGACTGTATGGTTTTAATTGAACATTTTATTTTATACAATTCCATCTTCTCTCTTTTACTAACATCAGTTATACTTGTTTCTTTTTACTTATATTGGTTATGCCCTGGAGTTTACAACATACATTTATTTACAATGAACCCAAATCTGATCTCAAGTAGTACTTCTACTGCTTCACAGATACCTTAAAATAACAAAATAGAACTGTGGGACAACTAAAAAAGGTATGAGAAATATATAGTGGGAATACCAAAAGGCAAAAAAAGAAAAAAAAAAAAAGAGAGAGAATGGAACAGGTGAAATAGCTGAAGCAATAATGATTAAGAATTTCTCCAAATTAATGTCAGGCATCTATGGACTGGGGACATAGCTCAGTTGGTAGAGTGTTTGCCTAGCATGCACAAGGCCCTACGTTCAATCTCCACCACCAGGGTGGGGAAGCTGATTTAATGTCAGGCACCTTGCCATAAATCCAGAAAAGTCAGAGAACAATTAAAT